TGAACATGATTGAACTGAACCTGAACCTGAACTTGACCAAAGTTCGGTTTCAGTTCGGTTCATAGGAACACTAAATAAAACAATAGTACATTAGTGTTTTGGTCTAAACCTCTTCAAAGTTTGAAACTTTTTGGCTCTGGAATTTCGGTTTCACCAAAATCTGAAACCTCCAAAATGGCTAAAACTTCTAAAATAGGCAAAATAGCCAAAATCTCTGAAACCCTCTAAATATTCTTCTAAACTTTCTGTCTTTCAGAACATTTTAAACCTTTTTTCTATTTTTTTTCTCTACCTTGCTCGTATTTTATATTCTTTGATATTCTACTCAGAATATTTCAAAAAGTTCACTAATTTTAGAGATTTTGGCCTGTTTTGACCAGTTTTGGCTAATTTATTTCAGAGGTTTTAGCAGTTTCATCCAATTTTGGAGGTTTTGGCTAGTTTCACCCAATTTCAAAGATTTGGCCAGTTTTGCCTAGTATCAGATGTAACTTTATACTAATTTATACATGTTTTTTTCACATAATCCGAAAATTTTCATATTTTATTAGCTATTTGTTTTGAAAGTATTTAAAATTTCATCTGTTTCAGAAGTTTTACTCATTTCAGAGATTTCACCTAGTTTCTGAGATTTCACCCAGTTTTGGAGGTTTCAGAAGTTTCAAATTTGGAACTTTTGGCAAAACTATGTTTCGGAGGTTTCAGCCAGCTAAAAGTTTTGGTTTAGGCAAAACACTTTAGCACATATATATTATTGACTATTATTTAACCCAAAGTTGTATTTATTACTCTCGTAACTTTATAAATATAAAATATATAGTAAATGTTAGTATACTCAAAGTTCCAAATTTAAAGCTTAGTTTCAATCTTCTTTTTTTATTGGCCATTTTTGGCATTTAAAACTTATATATATATAGTTAATATAACTAGTATTAGCAGTATATAGTAAAAATATTTGCTCCTAAGTGGTGGATTATTTTGGATTAATTTTAATAGTGATTCATGGTGATTTTTGCGAAACAGTTACGCAATTGATTTACATTAGCCAATCAGAAGAAAGTCAGCCTATGAAGTTTCCCTGGACAAAAACAGTGATTATCTTATCATGGTTACACAATAAGTTTTCTGCTATATTATCACGTGATAAATATATAGACTACAACTTTTAAGCTGAATTTTAAAAAAATCAACAAACAACTTTTACAATTAGACTTCGATATTGATTGATATGAATTGGGTTCCTGCAAAGTCTCTTAAGAATAGTATTGACAGTTATTTCTTCTCGAACATGTGGTATGACTAGTCACCCATTGGATTTCTAGAGTTTAAGAGAAATCAAATTATTGATGGTTTTGAAAAAACAGATGTGTATCATACATATAAAACAGATATACAAACGATCCTGAAAGCAGAACCGCCCGAAAACATCTCTGTCGCTATTACGAACTAAACAACACAAAAAATAATGGCAACTGAAGAAGTCAAATTGTTCTGGAAGGTAATAACTACTAAGAAGAAGTATAGGGAACAATTAGTTAAAATCAATGCTAGTGTAAGTATGTGTGTTTTGCTTGTGTTTTTTCAATTAAATTGCATTAATTTAGAGACATCACCTTTTAGAATGTTCTCAAGATTCGTTGAAAAAGATTTACTGAAAAAATTAATGTTGTGACTAGACGTGATGTAAAGAAAGCAGATGATAATGATGAAAGTATTAGTATACCCACAAAAACTGAATTTAGTGCTCAAAGCGAAAAAGAAAATAGAGAGTACGAAAAAGTGGAGATCGAGGAGGAACAAATAGAATTTTGGTCTGTAAAGAGAGCAAAACTTGGAAGTGGTAATGAAAGTACTAGTACACCCACAAGAACTAAATTTAGCGCTCGAAGAGAAAAAGAAAATGGAAAGTACAAAAAAGTGGGATCGATGACGAGGAACAAATAGAATTTTGGACCAGATACAATAAACAAAAAACTTTAGAATTATTCTCAACCCCTCATAAACCAATCCTTACGCCATATAAGTTTAATATTTTATCTCTCAAAGTTATTCCAGGGTTTAAATTCCTTAAAAACACTCTTAAAACAAGATATCCTGATACAGTAAATGAGATTGAAACTTATGAGGAAGACCAAAAAATGTTAACTAGCCTAGAAGCAACTCTTAAGGTATGGTTGCAAAAAGTTTTGTCATCAACTACTCCCGAAAAGTTATATAAATGCCTTATGGAGCCATTGCAAGATGAGAATAATACAGATCAAGACAAAAAGTTACATGAAATATTTGAGTTAACGCTAAAGGAATTTTATTTAATGATTAAATATAATCCAAGCCATATTCTTATGAGGCACAATTCAGAGAGAAAATTTCTCGTTGAAAGGGTGTCAACACCTTTTAAACTTGTTGAATATGCGTTTGGAACTATTACAACGTATTGGATAGAAAAAGTAATCATGTCAACAAAAGCAGCAGAGTTCACAGATAATCCAATCGGTGAGCTAGTAACAAAAAAAGCTGATGTACTGGCCACAGATCTTGCACATAATGTGGACATAATGAATATGGAAATATCTGGAGGTCCTTTTCAACAAGATAGAAAGCATACTCTTAAAGTTTCTGAAAAAATTTCAAACATTAGAGTAAACATTCTCCTAACAAGTCTCCGAAAATATCTTTGTACTAGTGTTGTGACTGCCAAGAAACTTAAAACATTCAACATTCAAGTCATTGGTATCACAGGTTGAAATCAAAAATATCTTCCCTGTATCTTCAAATAATCGGCCTAGGTGATAGCAGGACGATATAGT